ATATTTTCAGTTTCTACTGCTTAACTGATCAACCACGGCAATGAGTATTTTATAGAAGACTTCTCTGTGAAGCAGAAGGGGCCACAAAGCTTCCAAATTTATAATGGGAGGGGAACAATAAATCCAGTTCACGTGTCTTCTGCACTGACAAGAGCATGCTGTGAACTCTCCTAGACAAAAGAGTTCTGCCTTTATTAGTACAGAACACAAAATCTGCAAACTGCATATTCTACTAGCATCAGAAACTCTGGGCCAATTTACTTACAGAAAACAGAATGCACAGGTATGGGGAGATAAATGCTGCCCCTTCCCCTTTGCAGCACTTCCTTGTTTTATGACGCTTCTTTCAGACTGGCTTACTTCCAGTAATAAAGCAGATTAAGAAAGAATGCTTCAAGGAACAGAGTACAGCCACTGAGGGGGCCATGTGTTCTAAAAAAAAAAAGAGACTTCCCACTACCCCTGCTTTACCTGCAAAGGTTAGGGACATATATATATGGAACCCCCCTGTTACATCTACTTTGGCCTAGGATAAAGTAGAAAATGCAGAGGCATAACTAATATTTGTTCGGTTCATGAAAATGACCTATCAGATTAATTCTCTGTTCTCAGACAGATTGTGCTACTATGCAGATAAGTAATTAATTCACCAGTTTATACAAGGAAGAAACAAAGTAGTACACAAGTTAGTAGCAAAAATAGCCAGCAACTCTGTAAATTGAAAACACCTCCAGGATTGAAACTCAAGGGACATGTATTTTTGGAGGGGGAAAAGAAGGGAGAAAAATACCACACATACCAGACAAACTGTGTAAATTATGTCAAAATGAGCTGTCTCAAGATTGACTTATCCTTCCATTTCACAGGAGGAAAACTGCTTTTTCTATACAAAAGCGTGACAAGTATTTTGCTGCATGGCAAATTTAGAAGCTTTGAAGCAGCTTTCATTCAGCAACCCTCTCAGATTACTGCCTTCTGCCTTTGCACTCAGATTGTATTCCAACCAACAGGTTCTGAGGTGGGAGAAGGGGAGAGATAACATGCAGCAGAAACAAAACCCTGTAAGACATTGCTGAAATTTCAGACGGTCCAATTATTATCTAGCAACTATTTCTGCTAAACAAATTAGCAGCTAATGACCAGACACTGAAAACAGAACAGGATGAAATGTTCAGGAAAACACTAGAGAAGATGTTCCAGGAGGCAAAGACTCAGGGTAACTATGAAGCACGTAGGTTCTTATGATTAAGTAACTCTTAGAACGTTTTTACAGCAGTTCAGTCTAAGGGCTCTGGAGGTTTTAATGAAAAATATTTAGCAATATGGTAGGTTGCAATCAGGGGTCATTTCATAGAAAAATAGGTACAGAAGCTCATTAGCATAACTTATTTGCATATGCCATACACCCTGACATCACTGGAAGTGTGTCAGAAGGCAGGAGAGCTTGTACCTGAATAAACTTTGGTCTTAAAGGTGCCACTGGACTCTTTTGGATTGCTAGCTACCGGGGGGGGGGGGAGAACACGTAGATCTACCCTCACAGAGGAGGGAGAGCTTGTACCTGAATAAGCCTTGGTCTTAAAGGTGCCACTGGATTCTTTTGGATTGCTAGCTATGGGAGGGAGGGAACAAGCAGATCTGCCCTCACAGAGAAGGGAGAGCTTGTACCTGAATAAGCCTTGGTCTTGTTTTGTTTTGTGCTTTGATTTCACTGGGATCCCTTTTTGTCAGGGCACACGTAAGGCTTGTCTGGGAAGCTGCAGAAATTGCAGCGCACACGCCCGCCCAAAGGAGAGGGCTCCTGCTAGCCTGGCCCAGCCCAGGCGGGGGCATGAAAGGCTTCCCACCCTACTCCCCTTATCAGTCCCATCTCCCTCCAGGATTCTGCCCAGGACTGGCCTGCGTGGTGCCAGCCGCTTTGCATCAAGAGGCTGATCAAAGGCCGACCCACCCAATGGGCATCAAGCACAGCGAGGGAATTGTCCAATAAGCGGCTCTGATTGCTTTCATCATCCTCCGGCAATTCTATTCTACTGTGGGCTGGTGGGGGGGGGGGCTCCTGTGCCACTTTCCAGGGACTCCTCCGAGCCACCCTGTCCCATAAATGAAGCAGGTCTCCAGCTGACCAAGTTGCCTTAATGTGGCACAGGGGGGGGGGGGGCGTGGAAGAGACACCCGGGAAGCGCTGGAAAGTGCGTGGGTGCTCGTGGGTTGAGGAGGGCGGTGCAGAGGATGCGCATGGCCTCCGGCAGGTAGGGGGCCGGGGCAGTGGTGGGGCAGAGGCGCAGGAGGAGACCGAGGAGGTGCAGGAGACCGGGGCGGAGCTCCTTGCAGGCCTTGCGGGAGTTGTCGGGACCTGCCTTGCAGAGGCACCGCGCCAGGGCCAGCATGAGGACAGGCAGAGCCTGGGCAGGCTGGGTGCCACGGCCCAGGCAGTGGCAAAGCAGCTCAAGGGCCAGCTCATGGCAGCGCTCCGCTGAGTAGGCCAGTGGGCCGGGAAAGGAGGGGGGGCTTGGTGCGTGTGCCCGCCCCCTGGGCTCCTCACTGCCGGAGTGTCGCTCCTCTGCACTCTGGCAAGAAATGAGGCCTGGTTGCAATCCCCTGACCTCTATGGCCTTTTGTCTGCAAGGGTCCTCCTTCCCCCCAAAACGCCATTTTTTGGAGATCACAGGAAGTTGGTGCAGGAAAGACAGGGCAAGAACTGGTTCCACTATCAGGAAGACAGTAGAATATAACCTACTGTAAATTAAGTGGTGCCAAAAACCTACTATTAAGCACCCCAACATTAAAACTAGAAAAAAACAGCAAGAGTTCATTACCAATATGAAATAATAGCATCACTTACATAAGCAATTTTGGCACAGAAGCCAACAATCCCAGTGATTTTATACTCACGTTTAAACAAAATACTAATCAATTGCTCTTATACTTGCAATAGTTAACATAACCAAACATTAAAACTGTTTCCTGTGCTACAGGCAAGAGATGTTTGTAATATACCTTTTGCTTCATTCCTATGTAAACAGAAATTGCTTTAACAAGGAACACATTCACTTGCAGGGAGTCACTGGAAGTCATATGAGAAGCCAAGTGCTGACTGGTCAATTCAAGAAAATATCATTAGGAAGCACTCTTTTGAATCTCTCTCGACTGCATGGCAGCTTTCTTCTTTCCATGTCAGGAAATGCAAGTTTGTATTCTAGGGGTAGGTATATTTTTTTTAAAATCTAGGCTTCAGTGCAGCAGAGGTTTAAAAGCTACCTACAAACACTGATGAACATCAAGTGCTTCAAGTAGGGCAAGCAAATCTAACAGAGAGCATGTCTCCTCTGTAATGGAGTACAAGCCTCCTGTAACTTAAGTAACTGTACAGAAGAAAGAACTGAAGCATATGCAACTTCTTTCACTTCTATAGCACTACATCACAAAAAGCTGCATCTGCTGAAATTCCTGCATCTATGAAGAAGACAGAGAAAAGAACATTTCTGTTGTCTTTCATCACCCATTCCCTAAACTAAGAGATTATGCCTCGGAAGATCCTATGCTTATGACCACTTCTACAGAAACACTGACCAGACATGACACCTGCTTAGTTTCAGCAAGATGGCAGTACTATCCATACCATGAGACCTAGTGACAAATAGTTTCAGGCTCTGAGACACGTCAAACTTTGTAACTCCTGTAACTATAGCTTGACCCCAAATTTCAGGCACTCTCTTCCTACTGTAATAACTGTTTGATAAAACAATGAAAAGACATTTAACATCATTTGGTATTTGATGTTACACATGAAGTAAAGAGATTTGATGAGACTTCCCAAAGCCTTTTTTTTTTTTGCCTTCAAGTAACAGCTGACTTATGGCAACCCTGTAGTGTTTTCAAGGCATCCCATCCAAATACTAGCCAGGACTGACCCTGCTTAGTTTTTGAAACCTGATAAAATTAGGTTAGGCTGGACTGTCCAGGTCAGGGCCCATACTGCAAATGAATACTGCTCCTGAAACTATAGAACAATTAAATACAATTAAAGCAATTTTGTAGAAGCAGATTAAAGAGGGTACTTGTGGATCTAATTTTTACTGTTTATATAAATATTTAAATACCTTTCATAAAGGGAGAGGCAGGGAAAGCGATTGTAAGCCACTCTGAGACTCCTTCAGGTAGTGAAAAGTGGGGTATAAAAACCAACTCTTCTTCTTCTTCAAGGCTTAGAAAATTGGCAAAGAGTCACCTGCACATTGTAGGACTGTCTGTGTCCAATACTGGGCCTTACTGATAATTGTCTGCACACAAGACTGACACCGGAGGCATGTTAATAAGTTATTTTTTTCTTAATAAAAATCAATAGCAGAGCTAATAATATGTAATAGTATGTATGTGGGCTGGATAAATTGTGAATTTGTTAATGTTTAAACATTGTTAATATTAAAATATTTAAATAATTTTGATAGTTTAAATGTTTGCTTTATAAAATTAAATTTACATCCCTACAGGATATAGGAAATTCAAAGCATTTTTAAAAATCTCTCTGATTCTAGGCTATTCCTCCTAGATGTTGAGAATACCATACTGGGGACAAAAAAAAAATGGGGTAAGACAATCACTTTCATGCTTAGGTTGTGAATAACTGAAACCATCTTACTGACTCCCACTGGAACAGCACACTAGACTACGTGGCTCTTGGACTGATTATGCAAGGTAGTCATTGGGGCCTATCCACACACAAAAAATAAAAAATGACAGGAAGCCCAAGCTTCATACGCAGAAAGATGCAGTCAAGCCCGTAACTGTTTTTATATATGTGCTTCCAAGTGGATTTGTGCATACTAAAAGTAACGTATGAAGAGGCCCTTTCATTCTTGGCTGCCAACAGGGAAACTAGGTTGCTTTTCCATTCTGTTGGCAAAAAAAAGATCTCTTCATCTCCCACACTTTGATTTCTCAAGACAGCATCTTGTCTTACATACAAAAACAGCTTCTTAGCTTAGTCCGCAACTCACTCTTTGGTCAGAAGAGGACAGGACTTGAGTAGGAAGCGAGACAAAGGAGTGTCTTGGTAAAGAATGTCTGGAGGGGCAGTTGGGCTCTTCAGGTTGAGGCAGCGAACAATGATGTAGAGAACAGCAGCTACAGCAGCCAACTTCACCCCATCAAATACTGCGGGCAGCTCAGGGGTTTCCATTATGGCATTCATCTAGAAATCTGAGAAAGAAAAATAGAGCTCAGACCTTTCTGCATCCTTGCAATGGAGTGCATTGGCCTTTTTGTTAACCATAGAGCTGGTGGAAATGGTTCCACATACAAATACCATTTGCAAAATGACAAACTCAGGCTAGGTTCATATAGAATGGGTTACTCAGTTAAAACCAAGAATTACCATCTACATACTCAAGAACTCAAGATAACACACCAGAGACGAAGCAAAGACTGTTCTAAGGAAAGCGCCCCCAGGAGACTTCCCTTATCTTGTGTTTACTGTTACATTGCCTATTGGAAGAGAGAGATTCCAAAGAGCAGCTGAAGGGCAGAGCTATTCTGCATCTCATGCTGCATTGAAGCTGGCGAGATGGCCATCCGCTAACGAGCCCATTTATCAGGCTCCCAGAACATAACTCCCTAGGGGCGTTTGAAAATGCTGGTGAGAGACAAGACCCATCTCACTCCACGTTAAATGCCATTGACAAGTGATCTGTACCAGTTCCAGATCTGATTCCATCAGAAATGTGAGTTAATGGTCATCATGTGCTGAGTGCCTGTACTGACAAGGAAGGACCTGCCAATATTTTTTTTCTTTCTCCCCCCACTTTTTGATTTTCTCTGCATCTCATGCTGCACTAAAGAGCAACAGTTTTTTTATGGGCCAAATGTTGCTTTCCAGTTGTAATGATGTTGTCTGAAGCAATGAATCTGAGTGAAAGAACAATTATTGTGCCCATTTTACAGGGTTTGCTTAAACGCAAAATGTGTAAAGACACATTACTGACCATGGAAGAATGAAGCATAGTTTACAGACAAAAGCATCACTGGAAGACTCAGGAAACTTTTTAAATTCAACAACCCTCTACGGAGCAGTGTTAGCCATGGGACAGACAATGATGTGGAAGAAGAGTGTTTTGCATAGACACTACAGGAAGTAAATGAAATTTTGATCAGTAACAACACGATTTTAGCCAAAAGGCAGAGAAATGATCATAGACACTACAGGAAGTAAATGAAATTTAGATCAGTAACAACACACTTGATATTAGCCAAAAGGTCAGAGAAATGAATAATTCATACAGATGAATTTATTACTGCAGTTCCTTTTGTTTTAAAACCTTAGAACTGCCACAAAATGTATAAATTGCAACTCACGTATCAGTTGATATACAAGTGAAATGAATATAAATAACCGAAAAGAAATATGGGAGTAATCTCACCAAGGTTTCATAACAACTTGCAAAACACACAAGGATATATAAATGCTGTTTCATACATTCTGCTCTCAGAATTATACGTATAAACTGTTGCAATTTTATCGACAAGGAAGTGATAGAGAGCAGTAATAAAGACTTCCATTTCATAGTTTTCAACTCCATTTTGGTCTCTGCATCAGAGGGAGATGCATTCCTATATGAAGCTACTCTTCTACTTGAAGGGCTTGGTGGCAACATGTACAACAGCCAAGTCAGCTCTCAACATTACCCAAGCAGTGCATTCAAGAACATAAAACTCACCTGTACCACTTATTCTTAAATACAGGTAGTTCAGGAATCCACGAAGCTAGTACTGCTATCCAAGTCAAAGTTAATCTAGTAAAATAAAAAACAAATATCACTTTACTGGCAACAGCATGATATAACAAAGTACAAATCCCCTGGGCCAGATGGTGTGCACCCAAGAGTGCTCAAAGAACTTTCTAAGGAACTTGCAGAGCCTCTGTCCATCATCTTCAAGGCCTCCTGGAGGACTGGGAATGTGCCACAAGATTGGAGGAGAGCAAATGTTATCCCAATCTTTAAGAAATGGAAGAAGGATGACCCGGGAAACTACAGGCCAGTCAGTCTGACTTCTGTTCTTGGGAAAATATTAGAGCAAATTTTTAAGGGATTGATCTGTAAGCATCTGAAGGACCACTCAGTGACCCGGGGAAGTCAGCATGGTTTCGTCCCCAACAGATCTTGTCAGACCAATCTGGTTTCCTTCTTTGATCATGTGATGAACTTACTGGATCATCGGAACTCTGTTGATGTGATTTACCTGGATATCAGTAAAGCTTTTGATAATGTTCCCCATGACATTCTGATGGGAAAACTGGAAGACTGCGGACTGGACTATAGGACAGTTCGGTGGATAGGGAACTGGTTAGAGGACCACACCTAAAGGGTGGTGGTCAATGTGGCGTTTCATCAGATTGGAGGGAGGTGTCCAGTGGGGTGCCGCAGGGCTTGGTTTTGGGCCTGGTACTATTCAATATTTTTATCAGTGATCTGGATGAAGGGGTAGAAGGGCTACTCATTAAATTTGCTGATGATACCAAATTGGGAGGAGTAGCAAACACCCAAGAAGATAGAGTTAAAATTCAGCAAGACCTGAATACTCTGGAGAAGTGGGCAGTTGCAAACAGGATGCAGTTCAACAAAGATAAATGCACAGTATGACATCTGGGCCACAAAAATGTCAAGCACAAATACTGGATGGGGAATACGTTTCTGGGGAGTAGTGTATGCAAAAGAGATCTTGGGGTAAGAGTGGACTGTAAACTAAATATGAGCAGTCAATGTGATGCAATGGTAAAAAGGCAAATTCAGTCTTGGGTTGTATTAAAAGGGCCATAGCATCGAAATCACAGGAGGTCATAGCCCCTCTGTATACTGCCTTGGTCAGGCCGCACCTGGAGTACTGTGTGCAGTTCTGGAGGCCTCACTTCAGAAAGGATGTGGACAAAATCACGAGGGTGCAGAAGAGAGCAACAAGGATGATCAGGGGTCTGGAGACTGAGCCCTACGAGAAAAGGTTAAGGGCCTTGGGAATGTTTCCTTTGGAGAAGAGGAGATTGAGGGGGGACATGATCGCTCTCTTTAAATATTTGAAAGGCTGTCATTTGGAGGAGGGCAAGGAGCTGTTCCAGTTGGCAGCAGAGGATAGGACACAAAGCAATGGGTTTAAATTACATGCAGAAAGGTATCGGCTGGATATTAGGAAAAACCTTTTCACGGTCAGAGTAGTTCAAAGGTGGAATCAGCTTCCTAGAGAGGTGGTTAGCTCCCCGCCACTGACAGCTTTCATGAAGAGGCTGGATGAATATTTGTCAGAGATGCTTTAGATTGGTCCTGCATTGGGCAGGGTGTCGGACTAGATGGTCTGTATGGCCCCTTCCAACTCTATGATTCTATGAAACTGGAGTTAACACAGCATACAAGGCAAATATAGGATAAAGTCTGTGATTTGGTATATCGAGAATTTTACTTCTATATAATCTAAGGCATTTGTGTCAAACAGTACCTTTTAAAATTCTAAGTTATAAATGATGCATTTTATGTTAAAGTGGTTAAGTATAATTTTGATAAGAAAATTATCGGATATAATTTAATTTCTTCCAAAAGTTGATCTGTTTTCTCACCTCTCCCTGCCAAAATTTCCAGAAATCTAGCTAGGCCTGCTTTGGTTATCATACAAGCTATTGGAAATGGCTGTTCGCAGGGGAGAGCCATTTGCATGTAGTAGCTACCTTAATATAAGAATTTCTTAGGCTCATGCTGCATGTTCCTACACCACTCCAAAACATTCTTGCTGGGAGTTTTCAAAGCAGTGTAAAAAATGCGCACTGCAGCAAATCACCTGCATAATGGCAATTTCCAGAGTTTATGTCCCCCAATCCACTAAGAGCTGACATAATCAGCAATATTGCTCCACCACAAGTAGTCCAGTATTATTATTGGACAACACAGTTGACCAGGCACCCCTAAGAACATTTTACTAGGAGTAAGCCCTAAGCAGGATCACTCTTAAGTCTGTCAGTGCCGAACGCAAACTCATAATTTTATAATATTCTTATAACAACTCCTACAGATCACAGGTACTAAGTGAATCCTTCTTTAAACAGAAATACTTGCACAGTTCAGTAATAGTGGTCCTGACATTATCAATCAACTGCATTGTTTTGTTACATGACAGACAAATCAAGAGTTGAAGTCCGCATGGAATATAACCACTGCTGACCCACAACTGTGGTCCACGTCACACAAAATATCTGTTTGAAGGGAGGCCTCTACAAGCCACTGCTGTGCATCACTGCATAAGGGAGGGTCATGCAATGAG